ATAATTGGATATAGTATAAAACGCACTGATGCCTTTGTTTTTAGGGTAACACTTAATTAAAAAAGGAGAAGAGTAAATACAGTATTTACTGTATAAAATGTTGGTACATTGTAAATTTACTGACTACGACTATAAAAATTACACGTATAATTATTACAAAATAATTGTAAAATTCAGGATTGATACCTATTTAACATATTTCTACACGAGTAATTTTTGTCTCGTAATAGAACAAATTTTATATATTATTTACATTTGTTTTTTTAATGCTATAAAGTGAAGAGAAATTAAAATAGCAGTATTTCAAATTATATACCCGGTAATTAAATCGTAACCAAATATTCGACCAAATATACGGTTTGAAAACCGTATTCGAAGTTATTCGGAGATACTTGTAGTTTTTCATTATTATTAATTTGAAATATAAAGGCCTATTATCGTCCCTATGTTATTATCTGGTTTTATTTATTTCGTTTTTTTTTCATAGCTTTTCTTCATCTTAAATAAATTAATATTCCAATAATCAAGGTTCTTTTTAGTTAGTTCATAGGAGTAGAAGTTATTAATCCACAACTGTTTCAAATCTTTCAGCAATCTTGTGAAATACAGTACACTGAAAAAAAGTGTCTCGTTTATTGAAGAAAAATAAACGTACAGGGTTATAGTATCGAAAATCAATAATCTCACTTAGAACATATCTGCAATGGCTTTTTGAGGTGCATCGATGCGAATCGAAATAATTTAACTAACGCCAAAGCTCCATATGTTCACGTATTATGATTTTTTCTGCTAGATCCTTTTAATTTTTCCACAAAATGGTAGATGAAAAAGCATACAATAAAAATTGCATTCAGTTCTAAATTGAAGAGAGTGTCTTTAATTACGTTCCTACTTTATTGAAAAATGGATGAACCCAAATTATGTTGAGTTTTTTTTTACATACATACATAAAATTCTGTTATACATAATGTAATACGCGTCGAATTGTATTCCAGGTAATCGATTTCGAAATATTGAAAATCTGACATGATTTAACAACCTAAAAAATAACAGAATATAATCTTAAAAGTATAATCAATATTCCTTATTATGTTTTCTGTTATTTTTTATTATCAGTAATAATTAATACAAACTAATTGTTCCCCATTGTATCAAAGAATGTACATATGAACCAATTTATTTAGAATTTTTATTTAATAGAACTTCTGATTGCTTACGAGTTGAAATATTAGGTTGAGTTTTTGTTTATTTTGTCATAAAAAAGCCACAGTTTCTGGATTGCATTATGTTTCTAGAATTTGGATCATTTAAACATTTCGGAATTTGAGAATTTGAGGAGACCCGAATATTTGACAATTGAAAAATTAAAGAATTTAGATAATTTTAAAATTTAAAAACTTGAAGAATAATTAGTTTGAAAATTTTAAAATTTGAGTAATTTGAAAATTTGGGAATTTTTGTATTTTTAAACACGGGGATTTGGATGATTTCAGTATTGGAGAATTTGGGAATTAAAACGTTTAGAAATTACTGAATTTTGAGAATTTGAAATTTATAAATTAGGAAATTTGGATCATTTAAAAATTTGGTTATTTGAAAATTTAGGATTTTTAGACATTTGAGTATTTGAAGATTAAAGATTTTAGAAATTTGAAAAACTGAAAATTTAGACAGTATATAAATCTGAAAATTAGAAAATTTGGAAATTTAAAAATTTAGGGATTCGGAAATTAAAATAATATGTTGATTTGAGAATCTTGAAGTTGTTAAATTTTTAAGCTGTAATATCTCATACGTATTTTCATACATAATGTATCAATTAAAAAAAGATTGCATAGCTCGGAAACTGCAGATCTTCCATAACGCAACGAATTGAACAATTTTATGTGACATTGGAAATTAAATATTTACTGATACTAAACTGCTAATTAGTTGATTTATTATTCGTTTCAAACAAGAATTAGTCATTTTATGTTAAAAGTATCAAAGAGCGTTAAAACTATTTTCCATCTTTATATACTTTCCATACTTTTATGACATGATTTTAAATATTATATTCTTTAAAATTATTTACTGTTTGCTGTAATTACTATCTAGCCATTTTGTACTAAAAATGTAATGGAATCTTAATCTATTGTCTTTTATTGGACTTATTGAAGACTATAAACATGAGAACATATAATTCACGACTGGATTATTCAGAACAAAATGAAAGAAACCACAAGTTTAACAGTAATATAATTATCGTGACTTAGAAGTGATTGATCGGGACTTCACTGTACTAGTGTAGTATTTACTGTGAAATATATTTACTGTGAAATATATGTGTTTGCATTGATTTTTCCGTCAATTTTTATTGCTAACGTAACTGTACGCTTAATTTTGTAAGTAACTGTATATCTTCTATTTACAGAAATAAAAAATAAATGCTGTTTGTTGGTAAGCGTCTCACTTCAGAATAGTCGGCGTGATTTGGCTGATTCAAAAAAAATTGTTCATAATAGTCGGAATAAGGTTTATCATAAACCAATACAATATACTAAGTGGTGATGTCATAGTGAACTAATATAAACAAAGCATTTCTTTATTTTTAATATTTGCTTTAACATCTATCATCGAATATTGATAATCGAAATCGAAATGTAAAATTTCCCATTGGCCTACTTCTGAACATACTCCGTCACGAATTGTATATCCATGGCCACAATTGTTAATAGATACAATGATTACTCAGAAATACGTTTTTTTTTGTTTCATTTTTAATTTCTTCATACATTTCAAATAGCATTTCACTAATTCATAAAATGATGACAAAGGAGTTTATTAAAATTTGGATAGAACAATGTCTGTCGGATCAGCTAGTAAGATATAAACTAATAATTCAATGATAACGATTTTATACTATGAAATATAATATAATTAATTATATTATTATAATTATAACTATTTTATTGTTTCAATTATATACCAATTTTTCACTAAAATCAAATTTCATACTATTAATGTACCAGGATGCTATTTTAAAAAACTCGCAATAAACAAAATAATAGAATTAAAAAAGTAAATCACTTCCTTTTTGAAATCAAGGAAGCTACATTATTATTATAAGAATTATTGGTAAATATTTAGTATAATTTTAATATGGTAAATGTAGTGTTTGCGGAGATATTTCATCGTCATATTGATACTTTTTTATTTCAAATTACCGCAAAAGAATTTGAAACTTATCAAAAATTTGTTAAAAGGGTTTTCTTGAAATTAATATTGAAATAAAGAATTAATGTGTATATTAATTTGTAATTTATTTATTTATTTTCCAACTTCATTTTTAATTTTAAAATAAGTCCATTATATGTATGTCACTAGATTGAGTATTAATTACAAAATTTCTTATTTTCAATTGGATCACTCAACTCTACTTTCTCTGAGAAACTAGACGAATTAATTTATAAGATAATGCGCTTCATACTTTTCAAAAGATTGCACTTGATCTGAATAGCAAATAAAAAACTAAAGGTTATTTTTAAAAACATTCCAAAACAGAACGTATACAGTTTATAAAAAGAAAATATGAAAAAGATCAAAACAATTGATCAAAATGCTATAAAAACATGAACAATTGTATATTTATTTCTCACAAAATTGAATATAAACATCTTACTGATTGCAATTGTTGAAAACGTAAGGGAAATAACAGAAACACAAATCGAATGGGGATTAATTAAACATATTTATTCACAAACACAAAGTATACAATTTGAAACAGAATAACAACAGGAATAATATGTACAATAATATACTAAATATACGAACAATAATAAACGATTTCGAATAATATATGTTAAATAATACGAGTTAATTTGGAAAATGAATAATAATTGACAAAAATAAGGAACGTGAAATCACAATAAACTAATTAACAAAGAAATTAATTTTGGAAAATGATTTTAACAATAATTTCAATGAAGCGAGGCAAGGGCGTAAGTACGATCGAATTGCGAGGCGTCTATCGAGCGAACGAATGATAAGCGCGACTCGATCCGTAGCGGCACGGACCCCGCTGAGTCACGTGGTCCTACCCCCACTACGGACGATATCGATCCGAGAACGATTCAAAATCCTGGTGGCTTTGCTCTTAGGTTAGCCTGTACGTCTCGGAAAATTACCGAAGTAATTTCCGTCCGTCGACCCTCACAACAGGAGATGCAAAGCATCATCCCTCACGGGGCTTCATGGAGGCCTCAGAGGGACGTAGAACGCCCCCCCTAGCCACGGCTTGTCGACCACAGGGACACATAAAGCGCCCCCGCGCTGCAAAGAGATCACCTACCAGTCCATAACATAACAATAAATTATAAACAATCAATAATTAACAATTTTGATGCCTCACATTTCCACTCGTTACCCCTTTGCATTCTTTTCAAATGTCCTCATAACTCAAAATTATTACATGTACAACACCAAATCGCGGCAAACTAAAAAATGCCGATAATTATCAACTAAAATGAAATATTTCACGTTCCTGTCATCAACAGTATGCCTACATATACCGAGATAAGTCATTTTGACCCCCCACGGAACATAGGTTTTCGGTGCTGTTCTATTGTATCGTGGAAATTTTTGTGGCACAATAATATAAAGTAAAGTGTAACCTAATATTACCATTAAAACTGCCAAAGCGGTTAAATGACCGTTTTTCAAATAATTTATATTATGTTACAAAATTAATTATGGTGTTTTTTTTTGAAATCTGTGATTTTTATCGAGAAAAAGAATTAATATATGCATTAATTTGTGTCTTATCATGTATTCATTTAGTTTTCAACGAAATTATGCATTATACGCCACAAGGATTAGTTGGAATAAAATTAGAGATACACCACTATTATTCTAAGTGACACAGTTATCTCTCAGACTGTACGTTAATAGTCGACTTTGTATTAAAAGAATGTATGTATTGGAACAATTAATGAATGTGTTCGTTTGTTCCGTATTTTCAGGAGAGCATCGTGGGGGCGGCGTAGCCGGAAACGCGCGTAGTAGCAGCGAAAGAGGACGCATTTCCGCTTACAGCGGAGTCTCCGATCACGCCGATAATATGGACAATCCTTCCTCGCGGGAAGATATTTCTGAAATGTATGTGTTTCTAATTTCTTTTTCTAGCTAAAAACAATATTTTTTCCTTCAATTGCTTCGTTGTTTCCGTAGTATACTATTATTATCATATCTACACATTATTTTATTGATATCTTAAGCGCTTTGCTTTACTTACAAGAACATTTCGCGACTTTCAAAATACTAATTTCATTCAAACTTCGCACAGTTATTAAGGACATAAAAAATAATAATTTTATGAAATCATAGCATGGAACTTTTCAAAATAAGGAAGAAGTTAATTTTTTTCGAATACTGTGAAATCATAGATGTATTTTAGAACGATAGAAAAGTTGTGTTTTCCAACATTTTGTCCATCATATTAAACTAGAATAAAATTATAATGAATAGTAATTTTGTTTCCAACAAGCCTAATTAATTATTCTAACGACAGTTAGAATTTCTTTTTCCGTATGCTGTAAAGTATTTAATGAAATATGTTATGACTGGGCGAGTAAAACTTTCCCATATACTGTTAAATAAATGTTCGCGAATTCGAGATTTCCGGAAGTTATGTAAGTTCTTCTTTTATCCTCCTTAATTTTTTACTGGAACTATTTCATACTCTACTGAAATATTTAATACTCGTTAGCTTTTAAATGTATACTTTTTTCATATTTCTTTAAAAACAACGGAATAAAATTCAATTTTCACTTACTTAATAGTAAATTTAAATAAATAAACCACTGTTGTCATTGAATACTATGTTAGAGTTTCAAATTTTGTTTTAATTAATTGTAGTACGAAATTAAAAAGAATAAAATGGTGAAAAAACAGATTTCTGTAAATTTTGAACTTACAATCATTTGATTAATGAGTCTGTTTTTCAATAGACTACATTCATGATTTCTTACTATGTGCACCAAATTTGTTTGATGTTGCTTATGAGTGTGTAAAGTTTGAATGAAATTGGTGTGTCGAAGGTCCGCTTATTAGATATTGTACAATTTTATTTACAAATCACTTCACTTCAATATTTCTTCATGGAAACATGAACTAATTAAACACCTTACTAACTAGAAGCTTAATGAGGAACCTTCTGATATTATTATTAAGAGAATCGATTAATAAATCGTTAATCGAATACATAATAACAGTTTAATTGTAATAATAAAACTTATATAGATTTTTATACGTTATTAAAGATTTTATTTACTAAACAAATTACTTTAAATTACAAAATAGTAAAATTTCGTTGTAAGTGATTGGTAAGGTGTTAAGATAGAATGGCCATTTATTTTCACAATAAATAGAGCCCACAAACAACGTTTGCTTATAAAAAAAAAGACTTTTAACTAGTATTTATGCATAACCTTTTTCGCAGTTGAAGAAAATGTTAATTTGTTTTTTACACTATTTTATTTGAAATTTATGATTTTAGTTATTAACGCCTCATTTTAAACAAAAATAGAAAACAAAACTGAAACAGAAATGACAAACAAATTTTATTAAAAAATCAAGTAGTTACAAAACTTTATAGTTGTGTGATTCATATCATTCGTAGAGAGTAATAAAAAAAATAAATTAATTTAAAGCATTTCTTAAGAGCGCAATTTATTAGTAATTTTTTAACAAATACATACTTTCAGTATTTCAACATTGTTACACATTCATTGTCTACAAAATTGCAACACATTTACTATTTGCAAAATTGAAGCAAATTAACTATTTACAACATTACAATAAAATTGTTTATAAGTGTTAAGCGCATCAATAGAAATGATAAATATATTATTATATGTTTGTAAAAAGACACTTTGTTTAATTTATTGCAGTTGTTTAGTTGGTTTCTGTTATAGGTATTAATTTACGCTTTATTAATTACGATTACTTAGGGTGCAGCAAAATATTTCCAGTAAGCCAAAGACGTCAAACATAAACAGGTCTGAAAGTTACAAGGAGCGGATACATCACAAGGTAAGAATCCATTGTACCGTAGATATATTTGTCCAAATTTATATGGAATATTTTAATCAATGAACGTATAAAAATTTTGAATTCAATAAAGTTCGTATAATTCAAGGAATTTCGACTCTGATAAATTAATCTACAATTGTGAATAATATGCAGTTTTTAAACATGATCGCAATTATTCTCATTACAGCGACAGCTACGAGAAAAGAGGAAGACAAGTGATCCTAATCTCTCCAAAACTAAGTGAGTAAATATTTTCGTTTAGAAATTTAGATGTACAATAGTTAAAATCTTTAATATATTTATCCATTTTCATATTTTAAAAATTTTGATATTCCAAATTGGTATTAGTTAATTTAATCAATTATTTTAGTTCTTTTTCAAATAAAAATTGTTGTATAATTTTCTAAAGTTAACAAATTTACATGTTTTAACTGTAATTTCATATTATTCGCGTCTAATTGTACAAAATCGATATCTATTCATTTATTCCTACCTTTTGGTGGAATATATTGTTTCCTATTTAACATTATTTTGTTTAACAAAAAATTCATTTTCTTATCGATGCGAAATCACAAATTGTTGCTAACTATTTCTACTGCTCCGTTAAACTGTCACTGCCACTTCATTTCGCAATTGTGTAATTGCGAAAATAGAAACATTATGAAGATCAAACGAATATGGATTCTATAGTCATGCATTGCAGACCGATGAGTAAAATTATCGTTGAAAAACGTCCGAAAATACGAGTTCATTGGACATAGCTTCTCTTTCTCGACTCCATTTACAAATTGCAGAATAACAATGTTATTAGTAATCAGCAAAGTAGATTATTTCAGACTTATTTATAAACACTACGTGAAAATTTAAGTATTTAATACGAAATTTTCAGAGGAATAAAAGAAAGATTTGATTACAAAATACATGGTTCTCCATCTTAAATTTATACTGGAATTTGTCGACACTTATTTCTTGTGCTAATTAAACAAACTACAAATTAAAAAATAAGTTATCTACATTTAGCACAAATTTAGATCAATAATTCAGTTAACTAAATATTAGTAGATATTTAATAAAACATACAGGGTGTTTCGGTTTTTTTACTGTCATACTTTATTAATATATTCTATTCGCAAGAATAACAAAAAATGTACCATACAGGATTTCAAACATTTTATTGCAAAGTTAACACAATATCAAATACAGTATGTATTAGTATGTAGTAATTACAGTATAACTTTACTAAGATATTATAAGTAAAAATAAGAACAAATGTTTATGTAAGCATAGAATCTAAAATGCATTATTAAAAGTTGTTAAAAAATATATGAAAGTCGGCAAATATTCGTACGTATTATTGAAGAAGAAAACTGCCGATTATCATTTCATATATTCCTCATAACTTTTCAATAAAACATTTAAGTGTCTATGTTTATGTAATATTTTTGTATCATTTTTATTCATAGAATATGCTGGTAAAGTTTTACATACATAATTGGAATACATTGTATATGGTATCGAAGAGCAAAACAATACGAGGTCATCTTATACGTTCGTTATAACTTGTTAAAGACGTATTTAAAATCTTGTGTTAATATAACAACTTTTTCTTGTTTTTGCGTGTTGAATATGTTGGAAAAATTTGACAGTAAAAAGCAGGGACACCCTGTAAGTTATTTAGAGATTAGTTGAACATTAATCATTTGCAAATTAGTGTTTAGAAATTACCACTGTACTACATAAATTTTATTAAAATTATACTATTATCGCTAGAGTAATAATAGTACTGTAGGGAGTGTAACATAGTTTGTAAGGAAACATACAATGTATTATAGTTAGAGTAACGTATTTCGTGAAATAGTATGTAACGTTTTTGCGTGTTCAACGGAATTTTTCGTCGAAGCGATCGTCGTTTGTTTCATCGATGTGTCCAAACCTGCACGCGTGCTCGGGGCAGAATTTCGTTAGACGCTGCGATGTATAGACGTACGAATATCACATCAAACCCGTATTACACTTACATTTAAATTTACAATAAAACCTATAGTACTAATGGTAATACTACAGTATACACAAAGTGTTACCTGTAACGCCATTCATAATTTCTCTCCCACTTACAGCCACGTTACGAAAAAAAGTTTAGAATAATATTTCCAGGGTATGAAGTGCACAATAAATATTAGTAAAACAGATTTTGAAAACAGTTTGTTCTCTTGGCAAAGTCAAGGTCACCTTCGGTTTTTTAAATAGGAACAGAAATTTTTTTTATTCATAGCTTTCGGAATTTGGAACACTTATTACATGATATTTTTATTAATATATTATTCGATTTACAGAAGTGGAAAAGTGGAGTAGAAGACCGGAATCTAAAGCATACATTTTGAACATGTAATTAAATAAAGTGTATTTTTCTTACATTTTAGTCGCATGTTTGCATTCAGTAATCTCTTCGGAATCAAATATAGTATTCACTCCGTAAATGTTACTTTTGCCGGTCTCGATTGTAACATTTACGGTAGAGGTCCTACATTTTTTGTAGTGTGCCGAACGTAGAAAGAGACAGCGATACAAAAGTCAGAGGGATAAAATTTTGAGCGTTCGGCAAACATGAAAGACTCGTGCGTGTTCTGTCTTTTAAATTTAAAAATTAAAATTCTCTATTTTTGATTTTTCATCAATGGAACTTTTACCATCGTATTTGTCTCGTTTTTCTGATTAAAATGACACCAAACACGATATGATTACGATCGTAATTACTTATGTAACAAGCCATAAAAGTTTGGGATGTAACATTTACGGTAGAGGTGCGAATTCCTTCTAAAGGCTTGCTATACAAGTAATTATGATTTTAATTATACCGTGTTTGGTACCATTTTAATCAGAAAAACGAGACGAATACGGTAATCGAAGCTTCATTGATGAAACCCTAAAAATAAAGAATTTTGATTTTTGAGTTTAAAAGACAGAAGATGCACGAGTCTTTCATTTTTGCCGAACGCGTCAACTTTCTGCTTCTCTTTCTTTTCCATTCGCCGTCCTCTTTTATGTTAAAAACTT